TCCTGCAAAACTAGTTCAATCAATAAAATTACATCAAAACTTTATTAAACTCAAACAATTTGAGTTACTAAAGACAAATATTGACTATTGAATATTGATATATTTTTGTGCAGTTTTCACTTTCCAAATTACATTCTTCTATAAAAAACAACCTAGAAACATCGTAATATTTGGATTTATCAATAAGATAGATGTGCAATATCACTATTTTTTCTAAGCCACTCAGCTATATTGAAAGGACAATGGAAGCTTTCATTATTAACTACAAAGTGGGAGGTGAGAGTTTCTCCTAGGCACCGTGTGGCAACTAGCCAAGGAGAATAAGTGAAAGGATGGATAATTATGCAACATTTATATGATGAGAAAGTGTAGGATAGTGATACAGTTTTGTCCTCCTCCATTACATATACAAAGGCATGCAATTTAGCCACTTATTTGTCAAAACCATGAGTGAATAATGGAGAAACACACATGCAGCCCAAAGATTAAAACATTTGCACCCCTTTCATGCAATTAATGAGTGGAAATCAATAATGAGGAGGATCCAAAGAAAGAGAACAAAAACCTTTGCTACATATGATATTTCATGATGCTGTGAGATAATCTAGGCAATTTTGCCTTCTCCTTAGAAACAAACTTTTCAGCCAACACTAATTCATAATTAAGACTTGGTGAGTGGAGAGTTTACACATGCAATCCAAGGGTTGTGCCATTTTCACTTTCTCCATGCAATTTATAAGTGAAAACTGAGAGTTCTTTGTTGCATTTCACGTTACGTGGTGTTAGGAGGCAACTAGGAAAGTCTGCCTTCTTCATAGAAACATGCTTATGCTTACATTTTAGCTAGCTAAGTTTCAAAATTAAGACTTGGCAAGTGAAGGAATGACACGTGCAATTTAGTGACAATGCCAACTATACTCATTTCATGCACATGGTAGTAATAAATTTAGGATTGAAAGAAAAATGGGTGGAAGAGTGAAATATGTACAACATTGCATATTATAGTCATACACGTGCACACATAAATTGAGAATAAAGTCAATGTTTTAAAGAGGAAAAGAACAAGGGAAAATGACATTTAGATTATGAAATTAAAAAAAAAACAAACTTTCTTAAGTATTTTGGGTAGCATTAGATTAACATGTACTAAAAGATGTATGCTAGATTAGAATAATAATTCAAATTTTCTTAAAGAAGACAAAGTGAAAATTTTAGGGTATTACAACTATACCATAATTAGTTAATGGATCTCTAGGATAAAATGAAATAAAAGATTAGGTGGACAAATAAATCTTTCTCTTCCAATTGTTATTAAATTAACAAGTTCATAGACACTTTATACTTTCTTTAGTTGATATCTTTTGCATAATCATTGTGGATGTTAATTTAGAGAAAAGAAAATTAATATTACATGACCATTGGTATTGATAATATTTGTATGAATGATTAGTAATTACAAAAAAATTGGATTTAGAGTTAAACAAAAGAATAACATAAAGGATTGAATGAATAAACTCATATGTCTAAGGTTCTTCTCCTATAAGTTCAGTCAAGAACTGTGTTGTGTTACTTGCTTTAAAGTTCATTGATAATTGATTTTATATTTGAATATTTATTTTTATTTAATTTCACATCTTTTAAGCTCCAACAATCAAATTAAAAAATTCTTGGTAATTAGAAACAGTCCATGTGAGACGATAATTTGGAAACTTAATTTAAAAATCCTTTATTACTTTTCAATAGGTACACTTGCCCATAAACATTGTTCATATTATCCATATTCTTAATTCTAAGCCAAAGGCTCATATGATCATATTTCAGTAAAGGAATATGAATCATAGAATTGTTTTGAAAAGAAGTGTGTCAATCCTCATTAACTACCCTGTCAATCCTCTCTTTAATATTATTTCTCTGTCAGGTAAAAAGATACCCTTTAAACTCCAAATCAATAACCCATAATTAAGCAAGCAATTAGAAAATTTTCTTATTTGGTGGATATTAGGGAGGCTGCTCCAGTTTTTTCTTTCTCATAAAGAATGGAGTTAAAATCCCTAGTTACACACTAGAGATTACTAATAGATTGGCTAAAACTCCTCAACTCATCCTAGCACTCATTCTTAAGACACTCTTGACAACTAGCATAAATTGATGAAAGAAACCACTCAATCGACCATGACTACAAATTTTTATCTGAACCATATATTTAGATTTGGAAATTACAGAGATGTTAGTCCTATTAGGATTCTAGAGGCACTAAATCCCTCTTGAGAAGCCAATGGCATCGACCTTTGCACTACCTTTAAAATTAATCTTGTTAATTATTCTATCGGCTTTGTCCAAACTCACCCTAGGTTCAAAGAGGGTTAAGAAATCTAAATTATACATTACTAAAAGGTCATTAATTAGCCTAGAGAAGGATCTACTCTCATCCTCTTTATAATTCCAGAAAAGACAATTCATAAGAACAACACTTATCTCTAATTAGTATCTTCAAGATACTAAGGACAAGGCAAAATAGGGCTAGCTCTCTTTAAATCACCAGAATTTATGGGTTATTTTTAGTTAGATCATCCACCGAGCCTATTTCCATATAAGGGATCCTATCAAGTGGTCTATCTGTGGGAATATTAATAGAGTTACTAAGATGATGCCAATGACTTTTAAGATTAATACCCATTAGGTCTTAGATGGAATTAATTTTAGGAGCATTACAAATATCTTGTTGAAATCTATTCATTAGGAACAAGATTTGATTCTGATCTTAAGAACTATTATCTGAGCTATTCATCTCAGTTACATGAGGATTACAATCATTATTTTTTAGGTTAACACCTTTTTCCTCCCCCAATTTATCAGTTTTGGGTTTAAATTTATTCTTAGAATTTTTTTTGGAGTGGGTAAGAAAATTAGGGTCTAAGGGGCCTTTACTTAAGACTTAAGTTTGGGTATTTCAAATAAAACCTTTCCTCATTATATCCCATATTATGATTATTATCTAAAGGGATAGGTGCAAGAGGCGTTCCTTGTCCTTCTTCCTAAGCAAAGTCATTTAGAACCTCAAATTTGGAACCTAGAATAGATTCATTACCCTTCCCATTTTAGGTAGATGTTCCACTGGATTAGGATCCCAAGTTTCTTCCTAATAGGTCCTCGAAAGTATTTGCTCCTACATGCAAGAACTTTGGTCCTCTATGGCTGAATTTAGATCCATCTTCACTTTCTTTGTGCTACGAACCATCAAATTTGTCTCCTCAATTGAACATTTCTCCATTTCCAACCGATCCATCTCTTTGTCATGCATCCTTCCAAGATCTAAGGAAGAACCCTTCCTTGAGTTGCCAGTAGCACCACAACCACAACAACGTTAGACAATTACAAAGAAATTAGGATTAAGGAACCTAGCAGAGCAAAGAGACATTCTCTCCACAAAAATAAGAAACTCAATCTTAAAGCAGAGCAGGCTCAATAAATTATTAACATTTGTTTTATTTTAAATAAATAAATTTTGTTTATAAAAAGATAGCATTAACTTGGCTTAAATATATTTTTAGTTTTTACATCTTAATGATTTTTTGTTTGAGTTCCTCTAATTTTTTTTTATTTTCATATTGTAACAAATTATTATTTGTATTCCCTCTTATTAACGTGGTCTAATAATAAATTAACACCTGACAATCATTTAATACGTAAAATCAGCAATTGAAACTAAAAACATAAATTTGTAAAAACGTAATGACCAAAGCAAAAAAAAATATTATTTGAAGGAATTAAAATAAAAAAATTTGTTGAAATATGAGAAAAATATATTTAAATCTACTAATTTTATGTGATGTAAACATTTATTTGTAGGATTTAAACATTATTAAACTTTAATTTTCTTTATATGTGAAGTATATTTATATCCATAGCTTAAATAAATATTATATTTTAACATAAAACAAGCATATATGCATGCAGTAAAATTAAATTAAAAATTAAAATATGTTAAATTGTGATTTTTTTTTAATTCAAAAGATTCATTATTATAAAAAATATAATAAAGTAAACAATAGAAGTATATTTATAATTACTTTTTTAACTACATATATCTTTCACACGAATTGAGTACAATCACAATAAGAGTTAATTAGGTTAACTAGAAAAGATATTATTATTATTATTATTATTCAACTTCATATGTAGGGATGATGTGATTAACTAAAACATTGTGATGTATTAATTTTTATGCCATATGGAATAAGATACCATCTTCATCTGTAAGAGAATGGAGAGAAGAAACAGTGAGAGAAGAAATAGTGAGACGAGAACTAACAAGAGTCAGATTATTTTTTAATTTTAAAAAGAAAAAACTCTTTTAAAAATGTAACCAAACTCTAATTTCTAGAAATAATTTCTGTTTTCACTTTAAATTATACAAATCAATAAAAGTAAAAATTAAAAGGAAAAAAAAATATTTTCTGAAGCCTATATAATTTATACCGTCACTCATATTTTCAACGTAGCCAATGGAGCTGATTTGACGAGAAACATCTATATATATTATACCTTTTTTTTTCCGTGCCTCTGAAGTTAACCTTCAACCATCGCAAAGGTTGGGGCAATCCCATTATTATATCTTTTTTATTTAATTATTTTTGCCGTGACATTAGTGTGTTTAGAAAAAATAATATGGATTGCAATGAAATGGAGGGACTATATTTATTGTGCTCATATATATTAATTCTCATACATAGGTTTAGTCGATTTTAGTTTAATTTAATTTTGACTTGATATTCAACCAGATCATTCCTCAATTGATAACTGATACAGTTAGGACCTGATTAATTTCGGCTGGTCTGATGCTGAGAAACAATTTAAGAATTAAACAATATGCTGCAAAGTCATAACTAACAGTAACGAAATGTTTGACGAGTACCTGATACCTTTTTTAAAAGAGAAAAATGCTTCGTTTCGTATAATAATTAACTCATGAGAATCATTTGTTGTTCTAACAATCAACCACGATTTACTCCATGATCTTTGAAGGTATAACCAAAGTCCATTCAAATTGAGTTGCAACACAACATGCAAAAATAGAAGTAAACGGAATTTTCGTTACAGGCTAGGCTGGCAACAAAAATGTGCCATGAATTGCAGTTGAACCCATTTTGGTGTTTTTTCCTTTTTTCTTTTTCCAGTGGCTCATTATTTAGGGTTTGATAACGGGGTGTGATTGAGGAGGACCATCAGAGAAACATGAAGCTCTGAATCAGGTAGTTTGACCTCTGGAAGCAATATTTGTTCATATTATTTATGAAATAAACAGCGAACAAGGAGTAAAACAAAGAGAAAAACTAGAAACACTTGTCATTGAGCTCAATGCTAAAACACACTTGTCATTGAGCTCAATGCTAAAACACACTTCAGTCCAATTAAAGTAATGTCTCCTCAGAAGCAAGCATCCAATAGGCAGCAGCAGCAGAGAGCAGCCAAACTGCACTCATTTATAGATTCAAACAGATTAATTAATATCAGGGTAGAACAAACTGACACAATAATAAGAATAATAATAATCGAAAGCTACAAGACCTTCTTCATGCATGTTACCTGTTTCTCCCTATCAAATATGGAAGTTTTAAACTTGATCATTGAGAATTTTCTATTTGAATTAGTGCCAAATAATTGCCTTTTATTTGTTTAATATCTCTGCAATGTTCTTCATATGCGTACAAGACAGCAGTTTTTTGACAGAAAGAAAGGAGAAACTGTACTCAAACAAAAACTTCAACCAAATTTGAGTAAAAGAACACTGGCGATGAAAATGAAAAACATAAATTTTATCATTGAAACGTTTATATTGCGTGGAAAGATATACCTACTTTAAATCTATTTTCTTTAAAAATATCTGCTGCTATGGTTTGAATGTGGGACGATATTTTAAACAAAAAAAAGAAGGAAAAAAACAAGTGAAATTGGAAAAGTGTTGGGTTGGGCTGGCCCACGGAAACAATATATTTGGACCACACAGCGTGGTCCGTGGGTGACGAAGACTCCAAGAAAAGAATCTAACTAACCACTAACATCGTGCGCAGCGCACCATAGCTAAATGTAATTATGTCTAACGGTGCGCCCGCAACGCAACGGCCACCGAGTGGACTCGCAATTCCGATCTGACTCAGCGATTCAAATGAAAGAATTACAGGATACTCACCAGCCTTCCAAGCAACCAGGGCCTGATGAATTTTGTTGTTGAGGTGGCGGAGGCTGAGCGTATTGAGGCGCATAGGGCGGAGGATACCCCTGCGCTGGGTACGGCGGCGGAGGGTACCCTTGCTGCGGAGGATATCCCGGCGGTGGGTATCCCGGCGGGGGATATCCCGGAGGTGGATATCCCGGCGGCGGAGGTGCGTCCTTTCCGTATCCCTCCGGTGGATAACCTATCCAACAAATTAAAAGAAATGTAAAAGGAAATTAGAATGAGAAACTCAAAGATCCATCGTCAAATTCAACATAATGAATCCACAATTCCACACCCACATGCAGAGAGGGATACGTGATATAACGCACTTGAGACGCATAAAAATAAAAGAAAAAGAAAAGGGAAAAGAAAAGAGACCGTGTGGCGGTGGAACTCCGACGGGCGGTTGCTGTTGGTTGTAATAACTCATTGTGGGTTGTGTGTGTGTTTGTGTGGCCTTGAGTTTTGGATATTTATTTTATTATTTTGAAGAGGAGAGTTGGAGAATGAACGATGGAAGTCGTGATCATGACACGTCACGTGGTTACTTGTTTGTGAATGAAATACTTTCCTCATCAACGGTGAAACTTACTTCTTAACTATTTTTATTTATTTATATATTGTTTGCTGGGACCGTACTGTATCAAATACGGGTACTTTGCTTCCATGTGATCAGATTAATGCCAAATGCAATGCGCCTTACCATCAGTGATGGAAATTTGCCAGCCTAATTCTATTTAATTAATAAATTTAATTTAAAATTTTAAAAAAATTTAATTAAATAAATAGATCAAATTTAAACTTAAAAAATATTTATAAAAACTATTAAGATAATTTATTTATAATAATATATTAAATAATTTTATATAAAAATTATAATATAATAATATATTAAATTAATTAAATTTTAAATAATAAATTTTAAATTAAAAACTTTAATTTTTTCATTAGAATGGAAGAAGATCTCTATTACATATTTATATTGTAATAGTTTATTTAGTTGGATATAAGTCTTATAAATTTTAAAAAGATATATTTATTTAAATAGTTTAATAACTTATTTACAAGGAAGTTTAATGATATATTAAATGTCTCAATATAAAATAGACTATTAAAAAGGTTAATAGGCTAAATCATATTTTTAAAGTCAAACTAAACTTAATAAAAAATTTATAATAGGTAATAGATTAAGTTTAAGTTCTAAAATTATTAAACAAGCTAGACCTATTTATACAAAATCTAACCTAACCTAACTTATTTTCATTCCTACTCACCATCACTTGGGCTATGCCTCACTCTAATTTTTTTAATCTAATTATTACTGTTTTATAGGTAATTCTCAAAATACCTTATTTTATGTGTTTCTCAAGTAAGATAATTGTTAATATTATATTAAATATATATAATCAATAATTGAGTTAATAATTATTTTAAAAAAATTAAATATTTTAAAAATTTTAAGATATTTAAATAATCATAATTATCGATAAAAAAAATATAAATTGTACTTTCAAGTTATAGAATAATAATAAACACTTTTTTTTATTTATTCCATTAAAAAATTTAATTTGATATGAATGATCAATATTACTTTCTAATAAATTAAGTTCACATTTGAAGTCATTTAAGGGGGTCATTTATTAGCTACACCAAAAATTTATTATATTTTTAAAAATTTAAACCATATATTTATTATCATATTAAAAAACTTAAATTAATCAATAAAAAAAATTTTATGTCTGATAATTTCTAAGTTTGTTGATTATTTAAACGGCATTTTTAAATATACATATACTTAAAATATTTTACTAAATATAGTTATAAATAATTTTTCATATTAAGTCAATGTTGTATAAACATTGGATAAAAAAAAATTAACTGTAATGTTAGCAATTTATATTTTTAGTTAAAGAATATTCTTAAATTAAAAATGATTAAAAAGTGTGTTATTAGATTTGAAATTTAAAATAAAAAAGAGAGAAAAAATAAAAAATAGAGAAAATTATGGGTTATAGTTTAATTAACAAGAGTTAGATCATCGTTAAAATATGGTATTGCCGCTGTATAATCATTCGATGAATTGATACACCGTGCCAAACAGTGTTCCATAGGCTGTCATTATAACATTGTTTGATTGGCCATGTGCATAAATTGCACATTTCGCTGTGATTTTTGAATATTCCATTATTGAATGCAAGTCGAACAACACTCGAACAAAACACATGATCAAAAGGCCATGCCAGCATTATCGTGGGTGTCAAAGTGGAGAAAGTTGAGGATCAGTCCAGAATTTCTATCCAAGTTCATGAAATTTAAAAATTAATTAATATTTCATCACTTTATATAACATGTTATTTATAATATATTATTAAATTACATATTCATAAATATTTAAATTGTGAAAAAGTTTATATACATAATCGTAAACAAGCATATATTTCAACTTCGTTGAGCCTAATATGATTTGTTTTGCTCGATTATAAAGCCTAAAAAATGTTTCAATTAATTAGGAAAAATTAATTTTTTTATCCCTTAACTTTAAGGTAAAATTCATTTTCGTTCTCTAACTTTTTTTGTTCATTTTAATCCTTTAACTTTTACAAAAGTTTCAAATAGATCATTCTCCGTTAAAAACCTTAATTTCGTTAAATAATTTTGTTGTTTTATGCAACGTATACTATGCAGTATTGTTCATCATCTTCCTCCTCAGATCTTCGACATTATTTTTGACACCTCTTTCTCTTCTTTATCTCAATCATTCTCCCAAATACTACAACCTCAGAGAAAACAGTGCAAGGTTCTGTGTTTTCTAGCGCCAATGGCCTCAAAAACAGGCATAGTGACGCCCAAGATCCACTTGAAGATATAAGCGAACGATGACAAGGTCAAGAGCTAAGAAAGTCCAAGAAGCATTAGCACATGAAATACATCCATCCATGGAGTTAAAGCCCATCACTTGTCTTGTTCTTGCTGATTTTGAAGGACATAAGCCCAATGACTCTATTTGAAGTTTTATTTATTTTTCTTTCTTTTTAGTCCATGATTAAAAATATATATATATATATATATATATATATATATATAAAGTGTTTTTAGCAAGACTTGAACTTATATAAAGTGTTTTTAGCAAGACTTGAACTTAGGTACTTGTAGTTAAGTGTTACCTAATAACCACTAGGCCATCTTAGTTTACTTGTACTAAGGGTGTTTTTGTTTTTCTCTTGTTTGATTTTAATTAAGCAAACTCTTAATTTGCATTGTACTAAAAACACTTTGGATTGAATGGAAAAGGGGAATTCAGATTGAACAAAAAATACATAACTGTTAGGTTTTCTCTCAAGGCTAGGGTTCTTCCTTGCTTCTAGGTCTTATCAAGAATTCACTTTCTTGTGGCGATCAACTTAAGCTTATCAACCAATTAGGTTTGTGGCTCATATCCTTTGTTATTTCTTTTTCTAATCCTTTGTTTTTATATAAAATACAATGAGAAACCTTAATCTGACCTAGGGATAAAAAATATGCAAAGTTTCATGATAATCCTAAAATTTCGTTCATAATTAACTCAGATTATATCTCCTAAAATACAACTTCTTTTTCGGTGATTCTTAAGTCAAAATTGCAGTTTAAAACGTGAACTTTCACCTCGTTTTGGAAACACTGTAATCCAAATTTTGTAGCGTGAGATACAGCCTAAATTTAATTACGTCTGCAGTTGCATAATTCTCTTCTTGTTGTTGTTTGTTTTCTTTGCTCAAGTTAATTATGTCCTCCCAATTTCTAGGGTTCAAGATATTCATTAGAAACTCTAATTTCCTCTTTTAATTTGAGTGTTCCTAGTCCTAGTTAGGTCTTTTTCTCTAAGGGGTTTGAGAAACGCCATCACATAGAGTGATGAGACACGATGACTCTCGCACTCTCGCTACAAATCATAGGGTGCTTCATATCCTTGCTATGGTAAACATACTGTTGGAGATAGAAAATAGGTATTTAGAAAGTTGATTTGTTTATGGTTTGAGATTTGAGGATGAGTGCTTGGTATTAGTGGCAAGAAGATGGAGTTTTGAGTATAAGAAGATGAAAATAAAAGGAAGAATGAAGAAAAAAAGCTGCCAGAAACCAAATCAGAGATATGAGGAAGAAAACAATGAACAGTAACACACAGTACACTTAACACAAAATGACAAAATTTTCTAACGAAGTTAGGGTCTTTAACAGAAAAGGACATGTTTGAAACTTTTTTAAAAGTTAGAGGACTAAAATAAACAAAAAAAAAAGTTAGAAAACGAAAGTGAATTTTACCTTAAAGTTAAGGGACGAAAAGAATAATTTTACCAATTAACTAATATATTTATGTTTGTTTGAAAACTATTTTGAAATATATATATATATATATATATATATATATATAAATGTGATTTTAGGCTCTAAGATTTGCTCCAAGATCCTTTCGTCTTAAGTTAAGAGAGAGACATTTTTGAGTGTTCTGCTAGAGTTTCCTTCACCCCAGAGGTTAGACACACCTCAAACATTGTTGTGGCCTTAATAGCCTCTCAATGGTCATTATAAGGGTTTTTCCTCCAAAACCCTTGCTACGTTAAGGATGCAAGCAATGTTGTCTATGGAAGATTTGGACTCTTGTATGCAAGAAGACAACTCTAATAATGGTGAAACGAACCAAGTGTTTTTGAACCCTAACCCCTTCTACTTGCATGTCATATAAAGATAAAGTACTAGCGATTAATGACATAGATATAGTCCTAGGTGATGAGGAAATAATTAAATCTATCATAGAGGAGTTAAATATTCCTCTAGACTCCGAAGAACTTATAATGGAACTGATAATAACATTAATCTCTGTCCTGAGCTTAGGATCCAATTAGAGGATTATGAATCGTGGTGTAATCCATGAAAATTTACCTTAATAGTAAAATTTTTAGAAAAATCAATTAGTTTTAATTTTTTAAGTCAAAAACTTAATAACATTTAGGGGAGAAATGAGAATTTCAAAATTTTAGACCTTAACAATGATTTCTTTCCTGTTAAGTTTGAGAGCATAAAGAACTACCAACATACCCTTTTTGAAGGGCCTTGGGTTATAATGGACCACTACCTTTTGGTTTAAAGATGAAGGCCTTTGATTAGGCCTAAAGAATATAACCTTAAAAAACTTGTTGTTAGGTGTATATACCAAACTTTCCTCTTGAACAATGTAATGAAAAAATTCTTGTGGTAGGTAGGTACTTGCCTAGAATCAATGTTGAAAATTGATTCCCACATTTCTTTTCTAGTTAGAGGTCGCTTTGCTAGAATTTGTGTTAAAATTGACCTAAATAAAAAGCTAATACCATCATTTAAAGTGATAGGGCAAGTATTTAGAATAAAGTATGAAGACTTACATCTTATCTATTTCCACCGTGACAAATATGGGCATAGGTTAGAATCATGTCTAGAGATACCTATTTCCCCATAGATAAGATAGTTCCTGATGTAACATCCTTGTTTTTATATTTATTATTATAGCATTGAATGTTAGTTATATTTGTGAAGTTATTTGAA